CAGTGCTAGTCTGTGGCGTGTCTGGTTTTGTAGCCCTTTTGAGGGCCAGTGTCCTCACTGGGGTTACTGGTATCTCCCGCAGCACCTGTTTGGAGCATTAAAGCCTGTGAATAGCCTCGGTGGTGGCTAAGGGGACCCCATCTCTGCCCCTCACCTCCACCTCCCTGCCGGTCCCTGCAATAACCGTTTCTTTGCCCTCTCTGGCTGGAGCAGGTGGGCTGGATACTCTCCATTCTGGACCAGTTACGCCTCAACCCACCTCCTCCTGTGGCCATCCTGCCTTTGGGGACAGGGAACGACTTGGCCAGAACGCTGAACTGGGGTGGGGTGAGTGACGGGCACAAGAGCCTGCTGCTGACAGAGGGGAGCTGAGCGCTTCCACTCGACATGCGTGGGGATTTGCCTGGGATGGGTCTTTTGACTTTCCCTAAATACAGCCCAATAAATAAGGGCCATTTGGGTGTTACTGTTTTGCTGACATTTGAATTATTCTGCATTGGATTATAATCTGTTAGGACATTAACAAAAGCAGTCATTATTTCAAACTTTGGGAGAATTTTAGAAGGAAGATGCATTGTTTTAAATTTAAAGTCCCGCTTTGTTGTACGTTCAAGTAGAATCGATCTTTGCTGCATCTTTTGCTCAGAGATGTCTTCCCAAAGCCCGCTGCCTCTGGGGCATCTCTGCAGGAAGCAGGTAGGAGACTTGAGTCCTGCTTTTCACCAGGGTTACACGGATGAGCCTCTATCCAAAATCCTGTCGCACGTGGAAGAGGGGGACATTGTGCAGCTCGATCGCTGGAACCTCCACGTGGAGCCAAACCCTGACGCGAACCCTGAGGACAAGGATGAGGCAGCCACCGACAAGGTGGGACATCTCCTCTCCGTGTGCGTTCCCTGTGCTGGGGGTCTGCATTCCCCTTTCTCCCGCTGGCTCAGGCAGCCCCGGCGCCTGGGGCTACAGCACTGGGTTGGTGTTTTCCCTCTCCCTGCTCCGATTCCACTCCTCTCCTCGTGGCTCTGACCCACAGCACTCGTAGCGAGGCGTGTAGAGATCAGAACTAAATGTCCACTGGAATTTTTTAACCACAGCTTGCAACAGTCCCCTCCAAGACTGTTTCTTTAGCAGAAACGGGGGGTGATTGCGGGTATCTTGGAGAGCAGAGTGTGTCCCCTTGGGCCGCATCCCTTACCCCTAGGAGCCAGGAGCCAATCTGTCGTCCAAGGCTGGTGGTCTCTGTATTTTCCTGGGGGGAAGGCAAGCGGGCTCGTGAGCGCTGTACATGGCTCTGCTGTCGCCTGACCTCATCTCTGCCGTGGGCACATGCTGGCAGCCTCATTCTTACTCCTCCTTTCCATTTCAGCTCCCTTTAGACGTCTTCAATAACTACTTCAGCCTCGGCTTTGATGCACGGGTGACGCTGGAGTTCCACGAATCCCGAGGTACGGGATGGGGGGGGATGGCAGGGCTTGGGCAGGGCCTGTGGTGGGGGGGTTCGCCGAAGGTGGGGCCGTAAAACGTTCCTCAGGAAAGTGAACAGGAGGATTGTGCCAGGGACAGGGCTGGAGGTGAAACCTGCGGAGCAAGGGGAGGCTGCAGAGGGGAAGAGAGCAGGAGGCTGCCTCTTGGCCGAGGCTGGCTGGAGAGCTGTGTCCGGGGAGAGCTGGCAAGTGAAATATTTCCATGTTCAGGGCAATGACCTGGACTTTCTTCTCCTTTCCCTAGAGGCCAACCCAGAGAAGTTCAACAGCCGGTTTCGGAATAAAATGTTCTACGCTGGGGTGAGTGTGCGGGAGGATATCTGGGCATGCCTTCATAGCAGCCTTAGCATCAGCTGGAGCACAAGCAGAGCCCTGCCTCCTGTCTGCACCCTAAACTCACTCACCCAAGTTACACGGGCCTTCGTGTGCGCCCAAGCTGAGCCCCCCAAAAGCTGGAGAGTTGCTGGAGAAAGGCTGCAGCCCTGGGAATCGCAGCTCCTCTTCGGCTGTGGGCGCTGCTGGCGGTTTTTTCGGTATGGTTGCTGGCTTGATCTCCTGCCACTATTGTTCTTCTTCTCCGGCTCATGGACGATCATGCAGGCAGGACCTCCCCGGAGCTATGAGGAGGCAGGCTGGCCCCTCTGCGGAGGAACGGGAAACCTTTCCATAGAGTCCCCATGCTACTTTGGTCTTTTATTTTATACCTTGGGCCAGTTACAGCTCCCTGGCTAATTATGCCACCCTCCTGTGTCTCACTTCTAGAGCTTTTGTGTCTCAATGTCATCTTTGTTCATCCATCCCCCCACCCTCTATCCACCTCCCTACCCAGGTGGCTCAGTGCCCGATATTTGAGCAGTACTAAAGGCTAAGTGCTGCTCTGTACCATCTCATCTCTCTCCTGTTTGTGTCTCCCCTCCTCTCTGTACGGTTAAACCCAAAGAGGACCCTAGGGTCTGTGTAACGGAGGCCATACTGTCTCTGCTGGTATCTCTAGATGGGGTCGCATCAGCTGTTTCATGGTGGTTCGTTACAGCTTGAGACTGAATTTGTCTCTTGTGACTCGAGTCTCTCACTGGAAGAGACCCACCTTGCCAGCTCTTCCCTAAAGCCAGGACTGGGCTGGCAAGGGAATACTAAGGCACGTTACTGAAGGTGCCCCAAGGTTTTTTGGTAGGCAAAATAGCAAGCGGAAGGGATGAGATTGTTTTGGGAGGGGGAGAGGAGAGGGCTTCTGCCAGTGAAGGAGGAGGGGATTTGCTGCTTTTGGCAGCTGAGGTCTGAAGGTCGGTGGCAGGCTTCCTGGCTGCCCCTTTCGGTGAACATCGGGGCACTAAC